ATCTGCCAGTTCTTAAGCCAGAGAAGATGTCTGGATGCTACAGGGGCAGACCAGGCTCGGAAGGCAAACTTTACGGAGTCAAGGGTGGCATCCACTGAATATTGTGTTGCTGCAATGATTTTGCTGATGTCTTTTATCATGCGACATCCTCTGGGGAAGTGCGCTCTTGCAATTGTTGTAACCACAATGTTGTTCTATTAAAGAAGGAGGCAGTGGCTGCTGATTTTATGGTCCAAGCTGAAGCCTGGAACCCCTTAATGTAAGATGAGTCCCACCTTTTTGTCTTCAGGCTTCAGCTTGTCCACTACATCTCCCGACACTACTGTGGCCAAAGATGATAGGGCCGTGATTGGCATGTCAACAGAAGGCACCTGGAGGGCCTGGGAGAAAATCTGGTCAACATTGTAAAGACGTCTATGAGTTGCCCCTGGATGTGGAAATGACCCTGGTGTGCCCACTGATTTTTAACCACCTCTAAAAAGAGTGGTGGGGCTGGAACCTCCTCCTTGTCTATGGCAGTTTTAGCAAGCATTGTTTGCTTCAAATCCTTGCGAGGGTCTGTGTCAGGAACAGAAGAACTGCGCCATGTTTAGTTGTAGATTTGGCCTTGCCTAAGAGCTGCTTAAAAAGAGAAGGTTGAAAGAGATCAGCAAAAGCCAGAGTATCTGGCTTCCCTGAATCCTTATCATTGGACAACACCAACCCACAGAGAGGTTCTTCACCTGTCACTGAGACCTCGCTGGCTAAGGAAGGAGAACCAGGCCTATCATTACCCTCAGTACAACTGTCTACATTCGGAAGTAAGACTGGTTGACTTTGGGATTTTTTAGGGGCCTGGCCCTGCTTTTCTTGTTGCTTCAAACCTGAAGCTATACCATATGAGATAGCAGAGGCAATCAACTTTTGTATATTGGGAGGAAGACATTGCAGGGCCTCGTAATCCTAATCTGGTTCCTTGACTACAGGGAGATCCAATTGTGATGCTAAGGTAGGGTGAGAAATCAGGAAATCCTGTGTGGAGCCCTCAAGGGGATTTTCCATAACACCCCTTATAGCCCTGAGTGAGACAAAGGGGGAAAGGGAAATGTCCATTCTGAATCCCCTACCCCTAACTGGAGATGGGATGAGGGAAGAACCAGGACTGGAGGCCCTGGAGGGGGACCAGAGTCACATTGTTGTTGTTCCCGTAGCAGGCGCTCAGCCCAGGCCACACGCTTCTCCAGGGCATGCTGTCTGCACTGCTCATTGCGGTTGATGGCTGAGGCATTTGTGGCCTTGGCCCTGGTGTTAGGTCTGGCATTGTCCTCTGGGCCCTTTGCTGAAGAGGGAACTTCAGGCCTGGGCGTCATTTTGTACTCTGTTCTTGTCAATCACACTCCACTATTCACTCCTGTGGAGCTAAGCCACTCAATAGGAGCTCTCCTTCCCACCTAGTTGAGCCCCTATAGTCAGCTACAAATTTTGTCTCCTAATTGTCCCTTCAGGTGACAAGGAGCAAGCCTCAAATGTCAAATGCTTTATGGCTTACTCAAAATGGCCACCGCTCTTTATAGTAACCAAAATGACCACCTAGTTCAATTAATAGCCGCCCGCTTCATTCAAAATGGCGGGAGACCGTGCGCTCGTTCATAGGGCTAAGGCGGTTCCTGGGGCTAATCTTGCAGAAAGCCCCCAAACTAACCAGGCCAAGGCAATACAAGCATCAGCAACTAGCTAGTTGCAATGAGGTGGTGTGGTGATCTGCCGGCTCACTGCAAGGGAAGGAGAAAGCTCATCAGAAAAAGGTTTCAGTTTAAACTGCGGCTTTTCCCGATATATGGGGCTACAGCCATACAAGCCATCTCAACTTACTAAAATAACAACCCAGCAGCTCTCTTACCTCAATAATTTCCACGTGGAGCTTCTGGCTGCCAGATTAAACCAAACATGATCCGGCACTCTGCGAAGCAGCAGTGTTACCCGATACCCGCTCTGTCGCAGCAACAATCAATTTGTGATTTTTAAAGTAAATTTGGAAAAATCAACCAAATTGATTCAATTTATTTTGTCAATTAATTGAATATTTTCATTGCTACCCAACTAAGAATCTGTCAGACCGTAGACTGAGAGGAAACTGGGCAAGAGGAGTAGAGGCATTGCTGCAACACTTTTCTCTCAGTCTATGGACCAATCAGGATTGATAACAGTCCAATGGTAGCATCTCCCGCTCCCCATCATAGAGAACATGTGAGTTTAAGGGAGCTCCTATATAAAAAGAATATTTGCTATTAAATCAAATTCTGATATTCATGACACAAATGTACATAAGTCAATTATATGTGGAACAAAGGAATGTATGCAAATCTCTGAAAACTTGCCTTAATCAATCTATAGACAGATAATGTGCAAATTGAGAAAATGCAACTGAGTTCAGTTGCTGAGTTCCTAGGATAAGCGATTCTTCCTCCCTCATTAATCACCACAAAAGCAAGGTTTATGTTACCCGGGACATTACAAAGAACCCTTCAGCAGAGTAGGGTTGGCAAAGAATCTGCATTCTTGCATTATCTGTTGTTCATCAGACCGCTAAAAGGAAAACACAGTACAAGAATGATGTGTATGAGAAGATAACAAGAGGGAAACCATATTGCCACTTATCTCAAGTTTGCTAAGTATTACCTGAGTGATTTAATTGCTTTCAGATAATGCACTATGGACAGATGTGATGGAAATGGAACTTTGGGGCACGTATGAAAAATGTTATGCTTGGAGAAAGCAAACCACAGCATTTCAATAGAAGTTCATCCCAACTGTGAAAGATGGTAGAGGTTTTATGGTTTGGAGAGAGGTATTGTAATAATTGAAAAAAATGTACCCTGGATTGTAACAAAAATTCTAGGGACAGTGTCAGGTTATCGCTCTATGAACTAAAGATTAACTAAACATGAATCATGCAGCACAATTATCTTTAACGTAAAACCACAATAATGCGTCTATATCAAGATTTTATGCTTTGGTATATCTGAGTGGGATCTTAATTTTATTGAAGTATTGTGGCCTGATATGAAGTGATTAAGTTATGCAAATTGTTCTATAATATCAGTGAATTGAAACAATTTTGCAAAGCCAGCTTAAATATCTTTTTCCATGTAGGACTCCAATCTGCTTACCTTGCAGAAGTAAGCCTAAATTTACTAGTCTATGAAATTAAGAGTACTGTATGATACCCACTATTAAGTCTCATTTTTGGTATTGGACTGTACACTGACTTCTTCTAATCTGTTAGCCAGTGTTTTGCATATTTGCTGCTGAAGCTTAGTTAGGACCTTTATTGATACTTCTGTTGCTTGCCATACTTCTGTGGGCATTCTATCAATCCTTCCAGCCCTCCAACTTGCTAATGACTAGAATGGTGATTTAACACCATCTTCTAATAGTAGAGGTTCTTCTAACTAGGGAATACATGAAATGTTAAAGTCAGTTTTGTAGAAATCTATATTTTATATATTATGAATGATCAGCACATTTTTTTGTGTGAGGCTGTTAGCGTGAGAGAAAAGAAATGGATGTAGAGTCCTGACATTAAAAATCTTTAGCTTTGATAAAGTATGAGTATTTAAGAATTGTAAACATAAATTATCAAACATTTGATATGTAACATTTCAAGAATCCATAGTACTGTAGATATAATTATTTGCTACTTTTTAACATTACCTTGATATAAACCATGAAATACTTTGTTTGCCTAGGTTTAGGAGGAAAAATACCTAATTGACTGTTTTATTAAAAATATGTGTACTATCATAGTAGCTTAGTGTTTATCTGAGAAATGCATCAGAAATAAAAATGGCATCAAGGATGCCAAATGGTTTATATAGAATGAAAAGAAAGAAAAATAAAATGAAAAAATTTTTTTTTTTATTTTGTTCTAGGGTCATGATGAAGAAGCTGTTGTGGATACAGGCAAAATCAGTTCTACTATCAACACAAACTTTGAGAAAGAAGAATTAGAAAGTAAATATTAAATTACTTTTTCAAACCTAAATATAAATAAATGAGGAATCCCAGTACCTTATTTGTAAAAAAAAATGTATTTTATAATTTATAGTACTATTTGGAATTTCTGGCTGTGTAGTGATCTCATTACATAATATTAATAAGATATTTATATTTAAACCAAAATTTTGGTTTTGTCATACCCTCCTCATAATATATAATTACTTGAGAAAGTAGGAGTGAACTTTTATGTAGCTGGAAGCAACAGTAACACCACAGCTGAAGAGTTCTCTTAAGTAGTTCTTCATTTCAGAGTGATATGCCTGGAAATGAAGGACAGAGTTGAAAGTTCTTGGCTGGTAATCAGTTTCCAAATGAGAATGTTACACAGAGGGCAAACACACTTGAACAAGAAACCTGAGTGAGCTTTTCAACTTTCTTATCCAGAGGAATTAAAAGGATTATGAAAAATTGCTTGTCTGTTTCTTCTCTCCCATTGGTAGGCTATTTCAGTTTACACAAAAATACTGGTGCTCCCAGTGGCCATTGCTATATTACATAGTATGTTTCAGTGCAATGCAATACTGACACTATTGAGCTCCACACAATAAGCCTAGATTTCAATATATTTTATTAATGGAGTTGTAGTAAAATGTTTAAGGAAGATACCCCAGAGAGCCATATGAATACTCTGCACTTTCTTCATACAACCAATTAAAATTAGAGTACTAATTTATAGACATACTATCTCCATGCTTTTCACTGTCTTTTTCACCTTTCTTTTTTTAGCTTGTCTGTGGAGAAAATGAAGCAACTTGATTAGATAACTATTTAGAAAAGATTATATCATAGTTGAATGAGTCAGTGTAATTGAAATCTTTTATTGTGTAAAATGTGATAGAAGGAAGCTCACTACAAATTTTAGTCAAACATTTAAAACTAGGATTGTGGTATTTAAAATAATTTGCACTAAGGGTTCAAGACTTCAGCTGAAATTTTTTGAAGTGAATGAGCATTTACTTATATTAAAATGGGGCTCCTGGAAAAACCTTGATAAAATGACTTGTGCCAGCATATAGAGTACAATTTCAGAGCATATATAATGAGAAAGAGGCAGTTAGCTTACGTTTTACTTCATTTTTTTTATTCAAATATAATTGTTTGGATTTAATAGTACTGATAATTTAAAACAATTATTTTGAAGTAACTATTGTACCTTTTCACATACTTTTGTCAAAAAATATACATAAACTCAAATACATATAGCAACAATGAAACTGAAACAAAAATCATTTGCATGAGAGAATTCATTGTTAGCATAAGAATGTCTTTTAAAAATATCAATTTTATACATTTGCATTTGTTGCATTGGAAATTAGCAACTATGCTATTTTAGGTTCTATAAGTATTTATAAAAATCAGTTGACTTGAAATGGTCTTGTGTGTATAATGTGCAATTTATATGTGTGGTTAATATTAATTTTTTTCAAAAAAATCTCAGTGTTTATGACCTTAGTAACCAAATACACTTTATACATTTTCTCAAATGACCTTGGATAAAGACATATCTGATCAAGCCAAACTACCTCTGGAGCTATCTGTTCTATATTTAGTATCCTACATTATGTTAAAGCTGTTATAAATAGTGATTTAAGCTAATACTGTAACAGGCTTTGTATGGGATCTGTATGTTACAGCTGTTGTGCAGGTGAGCTTTCTGAAATTTAGGTAATAATTAACTTATATGCTTTATACTAGGGATAGTTACCTTGCTATCTTCCAGATGGTTTGGATGATAGTTTTCTAAAGCCCAGACAGCATGGCTAATTGGTAAAGAGTTCTGAGAATTTTAGTGTGTATGAGGCTGACTAATGAAAAGGAAAGAATTCCAGCTCCCTTCTTGAGATACTGATTGATTCATCAACAGAAAGAGTGATTCTAGAACCCAAACAATCAGGAAGAAGCCACAGGACAGCTGGATACATTTGTAATCAAATTGGAATGCATTCAGATTTTAATGTTCCTGCTAAAATAAGCTATATGATTCATTGTGCTAGAAAATAATATTAGATATTGTTCAAACTAGATTTAGCAGTATAACAGTGGTAATAATGAATTTCTTACCAAAGAAATTCCTATCTATTTCTACTCCTTTAATAGTTTCTTTTTAGTATCAAATCAATTGATAGGAAACTTAATTATAAAACGTATTTGGCAAAACAACTTGTACAATAGTGCAATTTATAAAACCAAACAAAGAGTTGATGTCCTTAATACATTAAAACACAGCTGTTTAGCTTTTCATCACAAATAAGCTACATTCCACAAAGAAACTTAGTTTTTTTATAATATATTTTTAATTAATTTATAATATGACATACAAAGAGAATAAAAAAGTAAATATTAGAGAAATTAGGGAAGACAAAGGAAAAAGGGAAGTAGGGGAATGTAAGGAGAAAAAGAAAAAAAAGGCATTGACTTCCGACTCTTTTGGTGCAGTAAAATAAGGCATTAACATCTACCCTCAACCTTTTACTTTTTCATAATAATATAAACTAGCCATTTCTATAACAACAAATCAATATAATCAGTAAAATCCAAAATCAAATTTTCATTTTTTTCCACCTCAAGCATAAAGTTCAGAAGTAGTTTCAAAGTAGAAATAAAGGGGTTTTTTCCTTTAATCAAAACAGTCAATTTAGCCATCTTTGCGAACTCCATTGTTTTTGGCAGCCATTCATCCATTGTGGGGAAAAGAAACTTAGTTTTGAAGAAACAGTTTTATTCTGATTGTACTGAAAACATCTTTCTCTGAAGGCTTTTAAAATTTAGTACAGCTTTCAAAACATTGTCAGTTCTTGTTTCTTCCCAGCAACATTAGTTTAATTAAGTTATCGGAAATTTAACTTGACACTAGGTTGTTTCTTAAGCTAATATAAAAATAAGCTGTCAGTTAGTGTAGTGTTAGATGATAGGAAGAGGATAAATGCCCTTACCTTCTTGATAAAGGAGAAAACGAATAATGTATCTGGAAAAAGTCTAAATAAATAAAGAAATCTTCAAAAACATTGTGGCAGTTACTGCGGTAGATAGAAACTTGACTTTGTCACTAATAAGTTAAATTTTACCTTCCTTTTTTGTTTATTTATTTACTTTATTAATTTCCTTAATTAGGTTCAGTGGTGGCTTCCTACTGGTTCAGACCAGTTCAGCCAAACCAGTAATGGTTTGGCGGCCTGGGTTGCTGGAACCATCAGTGACCCAGGCCTGCCATGCCACTGAATGGTTCCCTGGGTGGCACCATTGGTGCTGCCATCTCGTTTTTCAGTTCTGCTCATGCTCAGAACAATTTTAATTGCACTGTGTATGTGCATGAAGTACACGCATCAGCGAACCGGCAGTAGTGTCTGCCAGAGCCCACCCCTGATTAGATTGTAGTAATAGTACAGTGACATTTCTTCATAGATATCTGAATGGCTTTTGTACTTTTGAAAACTTTGCTTCTCACCCATAATAGGCATTCCCTGTGTCTCTGACATTAGAATGATAAGAGTATCATCATGGCACCTCAAACCTTTTTCTGGAAGTGATCTCTTCAGGTTGTGACCCAATTAATTCATATCCTTTTAACTTTAGATCCTTGTTTACTTGTTATAGGAACCTCAGAGTTTACTTTCTGGTATGCCATATAACAGTATGCCATTTGTGCAATTGCCAAAATTCGCACTACTGTAAACCAAAAAGGGATTAACCACTTTGTATTGCCTTATAATATTTGTATAACCATACATTTTATTGAGGAGCCCTGGTGGCTCAGTGGTTAGAATACAATTTTGCAGGCTAATTTTGCCCATAGTCTGAATTTGATCCTGATGAGGTTTGAGGTTGATTCATCCTTATGAAGTTGGCAAATGGTAAAATGAGGACCCAGATTATTGGGAGCAATATGCTGACATTATAAACTGTTGACAGAGTCCTGTAAAGCACTATGGAGTGATATATAAGTATAAGTGCTATTCCTGTTGCTGTTGCTCATATAAATTTGGTCAGAGGAGGGAAGTCATCAGGTCTCAGGGAAATAGCATCATTCATTCATTCATTCATTCATTCATTCATTCATTCATTCATTCATCCATTCATCATTCATTCATTCAACATGGCCACCCATCTCAAATGTATACATGATTCTGAGTGGCCAACAATGATTTAAAAATTATAAAACCGATCATGGGGTTATAACGGTAACTGGAACTACTATTTTTGGTGTCACTAGGTGATACAATCATGTGACTTTAAGCTTTATGACTGAATCACCTTAGTGATGACAATTTCAGTCGCTTTTGCCATTGAAACCCAAAGATTACTTGTAACAGGACAAGTAGATACAACTGAGGTGAGATGGCCTGCAAGCAATCTGACCCCATGAAGAAGTTTATAAATAATTACAAGAACTTGAATTGAATCTGGAAGCATGATAGCAACTAATGCAGCTGAAAAGTGCCCATAGTTCTCTCTCTATATGGAGATAGAGAAGTTTCATAATGAATGTTGAAGACAATAAATGTACTTGGATTCCCATTATATTTATCAGGAGATAGATATGTGCTTTTAGTGGCCTATGTCTGTTGCAGTTTCTTTAGGATTTGGGTGTGGGAATGAATGCTGTGTCTGTGGTCTATCTGGCTTACTAGTTGGTACTAATGTTAGAGGAAGACATTGGTAACTTGATTAATATGGGAACTGTCAGAACCAGTGTGTTGTTGATCCCTTTGGTGGTGACAGTAGGATTATGCTTAGGCAGTCAAGCTTCCCACTTAGGCTCATCAATAAATCATAGTCCCCAGGCTCTTAATCCAGTTGTCAATTAAATTTGACAAAAGATTCCTAAATATTAGTTGACTAGTTTAGAATCTTCATTGGAGAAAAGTAAAATCTGAAACAAAACAAATGATAAAGTACCAGAGACTTACATTTCTATGTCCAATGGTTAAATTTTAAATTCAAAGGATATTCATCATGCCTTTATAAATTAACAAATACATGATGGATCAAATGGAAGGTGGTATATGAGTGGGTCCAAGTGATGATGAATTCATCCTAGTTGGAGGGGTATGCCCCCTACTTAAGAAGCCATTTCTGGACCCTAGCATTCTGGAGAATTTTTGGAAATTTTTTGGGAAAGATGATTGAGAAGGTAGTGGCATTGCAATTCTAGAGGACTCTGAAGGAAATGGATTATTTGGACACTTTCCAGTCAGGGTTTAGGCCTGGACATGGAACCAAAACTGCATTGATTTCATTCCTGGATGATCTCTGGCAGGGGTGAGATGGAAGTGGTTCATCTCTCCTTGCCCTCCTTGATTTCTTGGCTTTGGTGGTTTTTTGGGCTGATTTAGAGAATTAGAGTAGTTGGCATAGTTTTGTGCTAGTTCATCACTTTCCTCTGAGCTTGGTTCCAATAGACATTAATAGTAAGCAAGAGGTCCAGTTCATAGCTCCTACTTTGGAGAGTGCCACAGGTCTCGATGCTTTTTCTACTCCTTTTTAACATCTATATGAAACAATTAGAAAAGATACCCAATCACTACAGGATAGAGCTATCACCACTATGCTAATGATATCCAATTATATATCTTCCTCCTGGGTGAAGTGAGTGATGCAGTGGATGTTCTTTCGTAGTGTCTGGAGATTTTAGGGGGCTAAAGTGGGAACAACAGACTTCATCTGAACCCTGATAAGATGGAGTGACTATGAATGAGCCTCTCCATATCCAGGAGTTTATCATCTTGTTTTGAATTGATTTACACTACCCCAGACACATCTGATGCATAACTTGGTGGTCCTCTTGGAGTCACACCTCCTGCTCGAAGAGCAAGTGTAATTGTGGTTAGGAGGGCATAACTTCATGCTGTGTGCCAGTTATACCCTTTCCTGGAGAGGGAAGCTTTCCACTTACTCGTGCCTTAGTCATCTCCCTTTTGAGACTACTACAATGCCCTCTACATGGAACTACTCTTGGAAAGCATCTGAAAACTTCCTAGCTGGTGCAAAGTGCCATTGCATGAGCTATATTGGGTATCCAAAGAAAGGCACATATAATACCTCTGCTCCACAAATTACATTGGGTGCCAGTTTGCTTCTGGGTCCAATTCAAGGTGTTGGTTATGACCTATAAAGCCCTACATGGCATGGGGCCAGGCTACCTATAGAACCTGCTTCATCCCATAACATTAACCCATCCCACCCTGTCAAGCAGGAAGATATGTTGCAGAGTTAAAGAATTATGGGGGGTCTAAGGAGAGAGCCTTCTCTGCCATTGCTCTTGCCCAATGGAATACTCTTCACCCAAATGTGAGACAGGCCCCACATTCCTGGCCTTCTGAAAAGGGTGTTAAAACATGGCCCTGCAGTTCTGAATGGGGAATCCAAAAGAGCATGCAGTGGGGTTGGCTGGTGCCTTGAGAATCCATCCTTTGTCTTTGTCAACTAATTTTTAACAGGTTCTTACCTCCTTAATATTTTTAAATAATTTTTAAATTTAAATTTTTTACATCTTAATTTTTACATTCTGTTTCACATTTTGATGCTTTATTATATACCTCCAAGAGTCCCTTTTTGAGGGACATGGACAATTCAGAAATATTATATATAAAAATAAACTTTGAAGGGGAAGAGACACTGGATTTTCATTAAAAAATAAACCATGTTTTATTTCTAATAATACGAACAATGAATTACAATATGACACTTTTGGGTAACATTTTCATTTCTGCCTTAAAAACCTTAAGGTAAAAAAGTTAAATAATCATAAACTAGCAGATCTGGTAAATCATTTTTGTTGCTGTTGTTTGATCTCCTTTACAACAGTGGATATCCTGCAAATCAAATTTGTTTTATAAGCCTGTAGTATGCTCTGTGTTTTTCTCTTTTTTGGGACAATTTAATTATTTTTACATTTCTAATATATTGAATAATGTTTTGGTTAAGGTCATAGAGCTGTATATATTGGTGTTCATGTGCCCTTTGGAAAACAAGGTCGACGCCGTCATAGACATCATGGTCATAAACGTCATAGACGAAGAAAAGAAAAGGAGACTGATAGAGAAGATGGGCGGGAATCTCCTTCTTATGGTAAGAACTTCGTTAACACTTTACATTTATAATCAATCTAGAGTTCATGTTTGTCTGTTGTGACAGGATGGGCAGCAAAATTTAATAAATAAAAGTAAAAAATGTAATTCAGTTAAAGAACAGCTTTTCCAGTTTCCTAAATGTATGATGTACAACATGATATGACTTCCTGGAACAGATTGTTAGAGTCTTCATCTCATTATTGCTTTTTCAGGGAAAAAGCCGCTCTGCCCTTGGGACTAGCTCTATCTCAAAAAAAGTCTAATCAGGAAAAGTTGGTCCTTTTTACAAGACAGGCTTTTGATTTCCATTTCTTGGGGTTCCCCCATTTTTCTTGCTACCTTTTTCCCATCCAAAGTTTTCTTGACTTCACTTCATTGTGCTCTCCAGGCAGTGGTTTCCAGAAAGTTAGGCATTGATAAGAGCAGACTGTTTCCCTACCATATGTTTACACGGGTAAAGATTGTACTCCTAAATCAGTACTCACTTCCATAGAGAGGTGATGATTGTGATTTTTAAGGGTGACTTGTTAATGAAGCTTCCTCTCATGCTTCTACAAAACACTACATGTTTAACACATTTTCTTCAGCAACTTCAGCCTTTGAAAAATACAGCAAAAATTAGTAGTATGTCTGGAAATCACTAATGTGATTCATAATCTTAAGATTTCTGACATCATCATACTGGTCATGGGTGGTGGAACAAAACTTCCAGAGTATTTACTTCCCTTATGTGCCACTAATAAATTGTTCCATTGCCATCATTTACTCATAATATCTTTCATTTTGTTCAGCAAATGTACTTGCAATTATAACTTACCTGTTTGTTATGTTATGAATAAGGTGACCAGATTTTCAGATTGATAAAGAGGGACACCATTGACCGGGGGGAGGGAAGGGAGCTAGGCCGCGGCGGTTACTGCCAGCCCGCGGCCTCGCTAGGGACGTCTGGTCACCTTAATTATACATATCCTCTCTCTCTCTATCCATCCATCCGTCTTTCTGTCTATCTGCCTGCCTATCTGTCTACCTAGCACTCACCATACATTAAAATTCACAGAGCACTGCGATAGTGCGCTATCAAACAATGGTGTAAAGATGAAGAGAGAACTGCTCCGCTCTTCTCCCTCCTCTATGTCCCAGAGAGACGTCCACGGCCACAAGACCGAAAGTCAGTAGTGTACAGGGCAGTCGTACATGGAGGAGGGCAAGGCATAGATGTCTGATGATCACGGATAGCAACCGTTCAGTCTTACCCCCCTTAAGGTCCAAAGGGAGATCAGAGGACCACGTGCAAGGAAGTCTCTTTCCTGAGATTATATAAAGTCCATAATCTGGTGGGCCAAAGTCTGAAACTGGCCCGAGCTGCTCAAGAAGGAGGGGGAGAAAGCGCCGATTTTTCCGATACCAAGTCCTTGCCCCTATGGCCACCATCATCTATCGCTCCTAGCCCCAACCCGACCCCAACCTTACTCCTAACCCTAACCCCTAAATCTAATCTAACACTAACCTACACCCTAACCCTCACCCAATCTTAGCCCTACACCAATCCTAATCTTAATACTAAATCCTAAATTAACCCAGCCCTAACCCCAGCCCTAACTCAATCTCAAGCCCTGACCCTAGCCCTAAGTCTAGCCTCTATCAGTCCTTCCCACAGCCTGGGTGCAACCTCCAATGGAACGTTGCCCTAGTAACTATATCTATACTATATCTACCTATCTACCTTTATCTACCTATGCCTATAACTATCTATACATATATCTCTATCTATATCTATCTCTATCTAATTCTATCTAACTATCTAGAGTAATAGGAGGCGGCAGACGGGCGGGGGAGAACAGGTGTTACGGGCAGAACATCGGAAACAGGCCAGGGCAGAGAAGAGTCAATAACGGCTAGGGAGATGGTAAAAGGCTCCCCAATAGCTAGGGAGGGGAGGCAAAGGAGCAATGTCCAAAGAAGGCTATGATGATAAGGAGGCCAGAAGGTGGAAAGGGGGGGGCATCCAGGCCTCTCTTCTCCTCGGAATCGGGAGCGCAAAATGATGATTATGTTGCTCAGGGTGCCATCCTCCTCTCCACTGAGCACCACACCAGGCAGACAAATGGCCAGATCTTTTTTCCCCCAAAGGACCACAGAACAGCAAGGCTGCAAGGCGAGCAGAGTAGAACGGGGGGGGCGTCCGGGGGGGCTACGGCGGCGGCAAGCACAGCCAGCCATCCGATCCGCCACTCCCACGGTCTCCAACAAAGTCTCCGACGACCCCCACCTTCTTAGATCACAATAAAACTGAGTCCCCAAGCTCACCGCACCACTCGGATCAGTCAAGCAAGCATGGAGGAGGGAGCGCCAGAGATTTGCAAATTGCTGCGTTCAGCAGCGCGGCGCCGCCATCTTCTCCACGCTGCAAATCGCCGTTCCAGGCTGCCGCAGTTCCGCTACTCGGGGAGATGACCACGGGCAGCTACCAAATAAATGCTGGCCCTCATACGATTTCCGGGACCGAGCCCCTCCAGGAGGCTTTGTTGAAGATGTAAATGGACTCCGGAGGCTCTCGAGATCTTCTATTTTTATCACTGGCTTCTGTGGAACAAGAAGCCAGGCAGCCATCCGAGTCCCGCACATGTGCAGAATTTTCTTTTCTTTCGCCCGCATCAGAGCTGGGGGGGGGGAAGAAAGCACTTTTCTTTCACCTGCGTCAGAGATGGGGGGGAAGAAAGCACTTTTCTTTCGCCCGCATCAGAGCTGGGGGGAGGAAAGAAAGCACTTTTCTTTCGCCCGCATCAGAGCTCGAGCGGGGGAAAGAAATTATTTTAATCAGTGGGGTGAAGCTTAAGGTGGCCAGATTATAACACAGGGCAACTAACGATAGTTTGAGCGGGCACAGCTGGCGCAAACTGCCATCAGTCACCCCGCGCTCATCAAAACAATTCCGGGAGAGTAGGTGTTGGGCAGGAAGGCTTCTGGTGGTTCCCAGGCGGCGATCCCACCGCCATCCGCTCGCGGCTCTTCCCGCCCGGACGCCCAAAGCCTTCCAGCCCGCCCGGGGCGAGTCAGCTGCGGTGCAGCCAGTGGTGGGCAGGAAGGCTTCTGGTGGCTCCTGGGCGGTGATCCCACCGCCATCCGCTCGCGGCTCTTCCCACCCGGACACCCAAAGCCTTCCAGCCCACCCGGGGCGAGTCAGCTGCGGTGCAGCCAGTGGTGGGCAGGAAGGTTTTGGGCAGCTCCTGGGTGGCGGATGTCCGGGCGGGAAGAGCCAGTGGGGGTGGCGGTGGCATCTTCACTGCGGAGCTACTGGTGACTACTGGTAACGTGACTACTGGTAACGTAGTCATGCAGGTAGATGGGCTTTTTGGTAGCTCTGCCAGAACTGCACAGTTCAGTTGGAGGATGTTCTTCGGACAGATCGGATGGACATTTTTGCTTCACAGTTTCGCTTGGTGGAAGCACCTGGAACCTTTCACAGGACACAGCTGGAGCTTCTAGAGCCGGTTCCTTTGAACTCGCTGCGGGCCTGCAATACAAGAAACTAAGAATCCCAGTGACTTTGGGTTTGAGTTGGCTGTGGAAGGAGTGACTCCGTGCTCCTTTTGAGTAGGGCTTTGGCTAACTCCTGCAGGAGTTACTTCTGGCTGCCTAAGAGTGGAATTGGAGAGACGGCCACAGAGTTGGTCAACATGCCTTCTCCAATTCCAACTGTCCTCGATCTCTATGAGATAAGAGAGAAGCCCGGTGATGCCTATCACTGTGACAGGAATCCACATAGTTCCTCTGGCGTAGTTGTGGGCATAAACTGAATCCCCTATGCTAAAATTCCGAAATTTGCTTGTGGAGTCAGGGATCGATGGGGGAGAATAGTTTGGGTGTAGCCGATCTAAGTGGGACCTTAGCCAGTGACCCATGAGAAGCTCTGAGGGGCTTATCCCTGTAGTGGCACTTGGCGTGATGTGTTGAATTAGCAGATAATGGTCAATCTCCTGGGCCTATCCTAGATAGGGCCTCTTTTGCAGATCTCATCATTCTCTCCGCCTGACCATTGGAGGCCAGATGGAATGGCGCGACCAGGGCATGTCTTATTCCCTGTGCTGCTAAGAAGGTCTCAAATTGCATGGACATGAATTGGGGCCCATTGTCAGAGACCAGGACATCGGGCAATCTGTGTGTGGGGAAAAGTCTCTGTAGTATCTTGATGACCACTTCTGTCATAGTGGAGGTCATCAGGACTACCTCTAGCCATTTTGAGTAGGCATCCACAACTACAAGGAATGTCTGGCCATGAACTGGGCCAGCAAAATCAATGTGCACCTTAGACCACGGTGCTTGAGGTCGCTCCCACTCCTTAGCTGGCGCCTCTGGGGGAGCTGGTCTGGACTCCTGGCATGGTGTGCAGGTAGTTATCCATTCTTGGATCTCCCTGTCCATGTTAGGCCACCACATGTAACTCCTGGCCAAAGACTTCATCCTGACAATTCCAGGATGCCCTACGTGTAAAGCCTCTAATACTGCAATGCACAGTTTGGGTGGAACAACGACCCGATCCCCCCCCCCCAGCAAACAGCCATTAACAACAAACAATTCATCTCTCTTACAATAGTACATTTTGAAATCAGACCCAACAGGCCCCTTGGACAACTCCCTACACACCCAGTTCAAAATTTGTTTGATGGTTGAGTCCTTTGCAGAGTGGCGAGCAACGTCACTAGAAGAGACAGGACCAGTCTCTAAGCAGTCAATCAGGAGGACTGGTGTCTTGGGGGTAGGGTCTGTAAGAAGTTCTGGCAGCGGGCAGCAACTCAAGGTGTCAGCATGCCCCAAAGTGGAGGCAGGTCGGTGGATGAGACGATAGGCATGGGCTGCTAGGAAAATGATCCATCTGGTCATCTGTGGCGATAATGACACAGGGGTAGGTCGGTCCCCAGCCAGCAAGCCCAAAAGCGGTTTGTGGTCCGTAATTAGTTCAAAATCATGGCCGTAGAGGTACTCATGGAACCTTTTTACACTGGGCACTGCAGCCAAAGCCTCACAGTCCATCTGGCTGTAGTTCTGCTCAGCAGTGGACAAGGTCCTTGAGTAATAGGCTATGGGAGCTATTGGGCATGTGGTGGCTGAGGACGGCTCTGATGTCAAACTGTGAAGTGTTACAAGTCAAGACCAGTGGCAGGATCTGCCTGTACTGCACCAGGAACGTGTCTGCTGACAGAAGTCTTTTTATCACGACAAATGCGGCTGCCTCGACTCTGCCGCAGGACCATTTTGCATTCTTTGCCAGGAGATGATGTAAGGTCTCAGCAACAGTGGCTTTCTGTTTAAGAAAGACATTGTAGAAAATAAGGAGCCCGAGGAACCCCTGCAGCTCGGTTTGATTGAGATGGAGGCCTTTGTCTCAAATTCTGGTCAAAACAGTTCACAAATGTTTGAAAAGTTGCATCTCATTTGCAGCCAATACCAAGATGTCGTCAAAATAGGGGATGACTCCTGGAATCCCCTGCAAAAGCCGTTCCATGATGTTTTGGAACAGTCCAGGGGCGATACTAACTCCAAATTGCAGGCGGTGACATTTGAATGTACCCCTGTGCATGACAATGGTTTGGGCCTCCTCCATAGCGTCATCAACAGGCAATTGTTGATATGCCTACGCCATGTTCAATTTAGTGAATACTTTGCCGGGGCCTAAAGAATGTAATCAATGCTGTACAATGGGTACAGGGTAAGCGCTTTGTTGTAACGCTTTATTGATTGTGCATTTGTAGTCCTCGCAGATGTGGACAGACCCATCAGATTTGACAAGTGTCACTATAGGGGTCTCTCAGCGTGCATGATCAACCAGCTCCAGGATTCCCTAGCCTACGAACTTGTCAATTTCCAGATTGATTTTAGGCGGAGAACGAAAAGTACTCTCCTGGGTTTTAGCCTTATGGGGACTATGTTGGGGTCCAAATTAAAATAAATTGGGAGTCCCCACATACTTACCCAGACCGGTGCCAAAGACATCCCAGAACTCCTTAAAAATTGCTTTGGCACTTTCGTCTTTCAAGGCGTTGATACCGGTCACTTCTAGGCCCAGGGCTTCTAACCAATCAAGCCCCAGGAGGCTCTGCAGGTTGCCACTGACGATGGTCAGCTGTAGCTCTTGAATTGCACCCGGAAGGTGCAACCCTGCACCCTGACCCACAATGGAGACTTGGTTCCCCTGGTAATCGTGAAAGTGGATGGCAGGGATGTGTAGGTGCTGCTTCTTCAGGCTAGGGATAGCCCGCTTGAGTGTAGACGATAGCATGATGGTCAGTGATGAACCCGTGTCTATCTCCATCTCGCATGGAGAGGCCTCAATGAGGACTGTGACCAGCTTTTTTGGCCGCCTAGTGCAGACTTGGCCAATTGAAGTGTGGTAGGTGACTCTGGTGTCACCCACTGAGCGCTGTGGTGGCTTCTGCCATGCCCCTTGGTTGGGCCTCTGCTGGCAGTTGGGTCAGCTTCTTGGCTGCCAGGTCATCGTGGGGTGCTTGCTTCTGCAAACCTTGGTGATGTGCCCCTTCTGCTTGCAGCATTGGCAGATAGCGTCACAGAAATGGCAAGATGATCTGGCATGGTCTCCTCCGCAGCTTGCGCAAGGCGGGAAACGCTGTTCGAATTTGCCCGCTGGCTTGGTGCGACTACTGTGCATGTGGCAGCTGTCATCTTCTTCGTCTACTGAGCTCTCGGCTTCTGCAGCCTCGCGATGTACATGTGTGTTCTTTCGTGTGGAGTGCTCCACTCTTGTGGAGTGTTTTGGTGCTGCAGGGTTTCTGTTGACGTGACGGCCGATTTTGATGCCCTGGCTTTGTCCAAGGCAATTTGTAGACTGAGGTTAGATTCGGCAAGTAACCTCCTCTGTAAATTAATGTCCTGCACACTGCATATGATGCGGTGAAGAATAAGTTAGTCTAGGTCTCAGAACTCGCAGTACATTGTGGCCTTTCGTAGTGCCACAACATACTCGATCGATTCTCCTTCCTTCTAGGTTGAGAATATTCTTCCAATATATTTGTATTATTTTTACATTAAAAACAATGCAGTACTGCAACATTGAAGTGACCATACATTCATATTATATACAGCTAGCCTCAACTATTAACAATTAGCCTACTTAATACATTG